TCGGAAACCAGTTTCCAAAAGCTTAAAAGGTTAGGGTTTCTATTTGAATTAAGTTACATTAAAGTAACATAATTATATTTTAGTTACTCCTAAGAAGAATAAGATGTGGGCCACAAGAAAAGAAGCAATGGAAAATATCACAAATCTTTCTGCAAGTAAAGGAGATTTGATCAAATTGCAGTGTGAGTCCATCATACTAGAAAATGACCAAAAGAAAATTCTTCAAGAAATAAATCTGAAGAAAGCAAAGCTGGAATTACAATCAATGAGATTAGATGTGAAAAATAAATTGATTGAAAAAAAAATTAAACTCGAACAATTAATGTACTTTCGAAATAGAAATAAAAAGTTATAAATTACATTCTATTAAAATAATGAATTAATTCATTTCTAGTACTCTCATTTTCAATGTCATTGTTGTTTTCTGCTGGAATCACATTTTCAATTAATTGTGCTACTTCTTCATCGACCAATACTTCAGGTTCATTATTTACGATTGCTATATTGTGTAGTATTGCGGTTGCCATTATAATGTCTTGTACGGTGGGTAACTGCAAGCGTAACCCTAATGCAAGTACTGGAAATCTACGCTTCCACACACCAAACGCCCTTTCAATGACATTCCTTGTTCGTATTTGTGCTTCATTGAACCTATTTTCACCTGGTGTAGTAGGATTTAACAATGGTGTTATCAAATACTTAATAAGTGGGTATCCACTGTCACCTAATATCAAATGATTACCCATCCCATCTTCAAACACTGCTTTCAGCATGGAATTATTAAATATTGTGCTGTCATGTGTTGCACCCGGCCACCGTGCGACAATATTTCTAAATTTGAGATTGTGGTCACAAGCGGCTTGTATATTCATGGAAAAGTACCCTTTCCGATTCCTGAATTGTTCAGCTTGTGCACCACCAGGCGATTGTATTTTTACGTGTGTACAATCTAATGCCAACAGGACCCGAGGAAATGCTGCAATTCGATAAAAACCTTGTTGAATTATCATACATTCTTCTTCTGTTGGTAACGAAACGTACATAGGTCGTAACGTGCAAAGAGCGGATGAGACACGTTTAATGATATGGCATACTGATGATTTATGTACTCCAGCAAAGTCTCCAACAGTTATGAGCATATTACCACTCGCATAAAAGCGTAAACATATTAAAAGCTGCTGTAACGGAGTAATTACATGATTTCTTAAAAAGAACAGGAAAAATAATGTAACATAAACCTATAAAATATGATTTACCTATTAGTGGGGAAACGGATTATGTTTTCAATATTTACAAGCAATTCTTGTACAGTCTCTTTGCTTAAGCGAAACCTATTAATAAAATCAACATCGTCCCAAAACTGCAAATGATCTGGACGTTGTCGAACTACATAAGGTCTTCTGTACAATATATTTATTTCATACTGTCCGGTAGATGTTCGATTACACTATCATTTTGAGTCCGGTAGGTGAGTTATTACAGCATCGGAGCCGGTAAGTGTCGCTAAGCAACACTTACCGGACTGTTATTTGTATACATCAAATTTGACATCTTCACACAATTAATTAAAAACCCCAACATAAATTTGGCTGTAATTCTTTATTTCAAACATTAACATTGATTGTAATGAAACAATTTGTATTGCCCTCAACACTACGCCTGGGTTATTACTGAATGTCGAGTTAGTAATGTTTGATTCCTTCTGCTGTAAAACTTCAATGAAATTTTCGCCGCCTTGTATCAGTTGTATCATACGGGCAATCTTAACTTTTCCTTCTACCGAGCCTTCGATGTATTTTTCTGCCGTCGATGAGCTTTTCCATGCTCCATGACGCTTTAACACCGAAACCCAGGCAAAAAAATCTCAATTCAAAAACTTACTGCGTCCAAAAAGTATGCCAACATGACTTTTTCCTCTACTTGTTTCGCCCCATGTTCGTTCCTCAATTGGCAAAACACTTAGTACTCTTTTTCATACCTTGCAGCCGACTTCTTATAGGAACCAACTTTTCGGTTGCTTCATGAGATTTCGACAGGATTGTATCGGGAACATTGGAACATCCCACAACGTTTATAACGTCAATTTTTCAGTGAAAAAAATTCAATTGTCAACAAACTACAAACTATAGCAACGGCCGTTGTCACAGAAACAAGGTAATGCGATTTTTACAATATGATGAAATTTTGTAATCTTTGAAATGAAATAATGATACAAAACAGACTTACAGTATGAAATAAAATACGTTACGATATACGTCCGGTAGTACTTGTAACAGTACTCGTTTAAGACATTCTTGACTCGGCTCCTAACGTCGCCTCGTCCATAATGTCTAACTCGTACTGTTACAAGTAACCTACCGGACTTATAACGTAAATAACTATTACATAATTTACTAATTCTTCATCACTATCACTTTCTGAAAATATATTGACATCATTTACAGCCATTTTTGTTTGACGTTTACGCCACTTTACGCGAGAAGCAAATTTATTCATATAAAGTCGTCACTTTTCCGGCTACATGTTACTGTAAACAGTAACTTAAAACTTGCAAAAAGTACCAGTTACTAATCTAATGGTTAAAATAAATTTATCTGCTTGGTAAACTTTACCAGACGGTTGATAAACGCAATTTGTAGTTTAACTAGTAGTTAATACTAACAAACACCTTAACAGTAGATTGATAAACCGGCCCTAAAACGAGGTGATCCGGGCATAAACCCGCTGGATATTCAGTGCAAAGAGCACGATATCAGCTACAGGGATAACCAAAACTTAGAAAGTCGACATCAGGCAGACCGCGTTTTAGAGCGCAAAGCTTGGGAACGCCTAAAATCATCTAACGCAAAGCTAGAGGAACGAGCAGCGGCTCTTGCAGTCGGCACCATCATGAAGGTGAAACGAAAGTTGGGGATGGGAGTTAAGGGGAAGAAGGCGAAAAGTAGTTTATTAAATTTGCGTAGAACTATTGCTAAGAAAATGAGGAAAAGTGGAAATACCGCGGACATAATAAAATCAGCTGCTACGGCAGCTAATTTGGCTGTTAGGAGATTAGGGGGAAGACGAAATGTGAGCGTACCCAGAATTATTCCCATACCAAAACAGGGCGGGTTTTTACCATTTCTGATACCCCTATTCGCAGGCCTTTCAGCAGTCGGGGCATTGGCAGGGGGCGCAGCAGGCATTGCTAAAGCAGTTAATGCATCGCGTGATGCACGTAAAATGCTGGATGAAACTTCGCGTCATAACCGCACGATGGAATCGATCGCTATTGGAAATAAAAATGGTGGCGCGATGTACTAGAAGCCATACAAATCTGGAGGAAGTTTAGCGTTACATTTGAAAAAAAAAAATTAAAAAATTGCCAAACCGACCGTTGACAGATGTAGATTTACGTAAACATGCAGCGGGTGTACCATTCTTTAGGGATGTGTTTATGCGTGATAATATGCCTATAACGTCATGGAAAAATGAAGCCGGTGTTATTAATTTAGATAGCAAAAGAGGGCCAGGCACTCATTGGGTCTCATATAAGAAACGTGGTGGACGGGTTTGGTACTATGATAGCTTCGGTAATATTCCACCGCCACGAGAAGTGATCAAATATTTTAGCAATTGTAAAATATACTATAATTACACGCAAGAGCAAGAATTCGGGACAACGAATTGCGGGCATCTATGTTTAAAGTTTCTGTATAAATAACACGTGCGACTATTTAGTGACCTTAGTCATGTCGATCACATTCAGCATAGAGGGTATTGGAAATATAGCCAGTCATGATTTCTATCCACCCATCGAACTTCCTTCGGGAAGAACATATGTAATCGGGGTAGTAGGTTTCTATGGCTGTAATAGCATAAGAAATATCCACTATGGAAACGACAAATTTTATTATAGGAAAGAGGGTGACATCGTCTCGCACGAAATCATAATTCCGCACGGCGCATACGAGTTGGACGAGCTAAGCGCGTATATAAAAGCTAACATACCCACTCGTCGCTTTAGTTTACGTGCCAATAACAATACGCTCAAGTGTGAACTTAGTTGCGTATTTGCTATAGATTTCACTCCAAGAGACTGCATAGGGCGCATGCTCGGTTTCGAATCGAAGATATTGGAAGCCAACGTTATACATAAATCAGCTTTAGATATACAAATAATTAAGCATACTAATATTCACATAGAGTGCAATCTCATTACGGGATCCTATCGTAACGGAAATCCTGCTAAAGTCCTTTATGAAATAGACGTCTCCGTTCCACCAGGTTACCGCTTAGACAAAATTCCAAACAATACTCAATATCTGGAAGTAAATATAAGCAGAATTAGCAACATAACCATAAAGTTGACGAATCAAAAAGGTGAACCAATAGATTTCGGGGACAGTGAGCCATTTACAGTTCGATTAGAGTTAAAAGAATATGGGGTTACGTATTAATCAAGGCCCACCGCCATCCTTCCTTAGCAGCACTATAAATAAACGATGTAAGCGTAAATCCAGCTATTCTACAGCGAGTCGAGACCAGGACACGTTAACCCCAACAGAAAAATACTTCCTGGAATCCATTGGTTTGAAAGTGCAAAATGGCAGTGGCGGCAGACTCGTTAAACATCTTTCAAAACCTACACTTTGACGAAACTATAATCAAGTCAGATGTCCATACTTATCTTCCGTACGGAGGGTCTTCGAACTATGGGCTTTCCAGTGAAATCCGTATATTAATTCAAAATCAAGACCTGGTGACTGCCACATACGACAGCTTTCTATACATAGACGGAAAAATTGAATGGAATCAGCCTCAAGAAGAGGGTGCGATCGCAAAGACATGCAACCTAACGAACAATTTTGCGGCATTTCTTTTCGAAGAAAATACGCTACGAGTTGGGGGGTCAGAAAGTAGATGTATGTAGGAATCCGGGTATTACATCCTCACTCAAGGGATACGTATCGTATACAGCTACTGAAAGCAAAGGTCTCAAACATTTGGGATGGTCGCCCATGGATGAGTCCCTTCAAGTAGACTACGTCAAGAGCAACAAGGAGAAGCATTTCACCGTTTGCATTCCGTTAAAGCACATATTTGGAAGTATGGAAGACTATCGTCAAGTTATCGTAAACATGCGCCAAGAATTGGTACTGATTCGTGCTAGAAGCGATGCCGATTGTTACATGGGCACAGCGAACGATGCAACAATAACATTAACAAAAATTCAATGGAAAGTTCCTCACGTGACAGTTAGCGACAGTGCCAAAATTGGGCTATATGAGCGCATTAACAAGGATGCAATAATTACAATGCCGTTTCGTCAATGGGAACTGTACGAATTGCCCGCTTTGAAACAGGCACAGTCGGATATATGGCCAATCAAAACGTCAACCCAATTAGAGAAACCTCGATGGGTAATCGTAGCATTTCAACGTAGTGGAAAAAGGTTTTCGCATGAGGCGAGAGCGACCAATTTCGATAACGTCAATATCCGCAATCTAAAGCTTCATCTCAATTCTGAAAGTTATCCGTACGAAGCGATGCATTTAGATTTTAGTGCCAACAAATATATAACCGCATATCAAAACTACGTAAACTTTCGTAGAGATTATTACATCAAGGACGAGCAAGACGCTTTGTTTGATTATTCTTATTTTAAAAGTTGTCCAATCTTTGTAATGGATTGTTCAAAACAAAACGAATCTCTGAAGCATTCAACGGTAGATGTTAGATTGGAAATGGAATCGATGGAGGCCTTCGAGGCGGGAACCGTTGCTTATTGTCTGATCTTGCACGACGCCCTAGTTCAATACAATCCTTTGACTGGAGAAGTGAAGAAACTATAGTTCATATTTTTTGAAAATGTATTTTCTAGTATAAATAAAATGTATTGACCAAAATGTGCCTAGTTTAATTTTAACCATCAAAAATGAAGGTAGTGGTGCACGAGCAAAAACTTCCCATTCAAAATCTTGATACTTTTATAACACCAAATGTGGGGTCTAAAAGACATGGAGAGTTACTTCCAAACAGCGTAAGATGTCTAATTTGTGGACCGTCGAATTGCGGCAAAACGAATACGATGCTGAGTCTACTAACTGAATCTAATGGTCTACGCTTCAAAAATGTGTATGTCTATTCCAAATCACTAAATCAGGATAAGTATAGGCTCTTGGGAGAAATTCTGAGTCCTATGAAGGACATAGGTTTCTTCACCTTCAGCGATAACACAGATATTATGGAGCCCAGCGTTGCAAAACCTAATTCAGTTTTTATTTTTGATGACATTGCTTGTGAAAAACAGGATCACATTAGAGCATACTTTTCAATGGGCAGACATAACGCTATCGATTGCTTCTACTTAGGCCAAACGTACTCTAAAATTCCCAAACAACTTATACGAGACAACGCCAACTTAATTGTTCTGTTCGAACAGGACGATTTGAATTTGCGACACATTTACGAAGACCATGTCACCCCCCTAATAAGTATGCAGCTGTTTCGAGAGATGTGTTCTGAAAGCTGGCAGACCCCATATGGGTTTATGGTGATTAATAAGGATGCCGAAGTACGAAACGGTCGTTTTAGGAAAGGTTTCGATCATTATATAATACCGTAAACATTTATGTATGGATCAGTTGCAAATAGACAGCTAACAGCTTTCACATAAACGGATTATTAATAAACAGGTCTGTTTACTTATTTATCTGTTCGCCTGTTTACCTGTTCGCCTGTTTACCTGTTCGTCTGTTTAACTGTTCGTCTGTTTATCTGTTCGTCTGTTTACCTGTTCGTCGGTTTACCTGTTCGTCTGTTTACCTATTCGTCTGTTTACCTAGGTTGGTCTATTTACCTGTTCCCCTGTTTTTATTGTCTGTGTACCTATTCTATCCATTTGACAATCCGCATCATGGATAACAAGGAGATGGCATTGAAACGACGAATAATTCAAGCCCGTAAAGCGATACAACAAAAGTATAATCGTCTTAAGGAGGATCGGTTTAGTAGAGAACTAGAATTTGTGCAAACCTACAAGCCCCTAATCCAACCACTATCTCAGATCGTAAAGAAAATCGAACCGCCATCGATGCAGATGGTAACGAAAAAGGAGGAGCCGGAGGACGAAGTATTTACGAACGCTTCACCTCCCAAACGTCAATCTTCTGCAAAAGGCAAGTCATCACCACAACGTACGACCCCTGCGATACCTTATTACTTGCGAGTGAGACGAAGGCCCTCTTCCCTTACCGAGATCAGTCCGCTGATATTAGTCCTATGGTTAGGCCATTTCATCTCACGGCTACTCCATCATTGAGACAGCCGCCATCATTTCTACAGAGTACAGTGATAGGAGAGCATCAACCGGAGGAAGAAGAAGAAGAGCCTCCTATCGCATCATCATCATCTGCTTTATTACTTGATATGCAAGGTTCGCGAGACTTTTTGGAACAATACAAACACCTACCACGTATATACGTTGAGCGCATGATAAGAGATACGAGTAATGCAATTGACACCACCTTTGGAATTCATTATAATGTCGAAACGGATAAGTGGAGAATGGGCAAGACAGAGGTGACGATAGATAACGAAGATTTGGTTATTAACGGGATCCGGTACAAAGGTACTGCAGGGCTATACGAACTTATCATCATGAATGAACCGGATGAATCGCTAGTATCCAAGCAGGATAGAAGTAACTATAAGCAGATAATAATAGCAACTCATGTCGCACGGCGCAATTACGACCCCACCGAACAGATTCGTGGCAATAAAAGCAAAAAGTATACGCTCATAATAAAGCCTCTACTGAAGGAGGAGGAAGCGGCGAATAGGGGGCGTGCGAAATCGGGAAGCGGCATTACTCTATTCAAGGAACTCGACCGACCGATCGAATACAAATACTGGAATAGCGTGCATGAATTGATTAGGGAGTTAGAGGTTTTATGGGGTGAAAAAATGGCAGGCAACACTGGTGTAAAAAATGATATAATATCAATTATGGAAGAGTTATATGAAGAGGGCTACATACAAAAGCCTACGCAGCGATTTTTACGTCAACTAGTATAAATACCCCATTTCCGCCTTCTTTCTTACATTCATCATGGATAAATTCGGACGTTCACATACCCATGCTCAATTTGGAAAGCTGTTGAAAACAACTTTTTCCATTACCGACGATACTATAAACGTGGAAAACAAGAGATTAAGTAATGTTGCCGATCCTATTGAACGTCAGGATGCCCTAACCTTACACCACTATCTAGCTACAAGACTAAATCTAAACGAAAACCGGCTGACCAATGTGGCTGATCCATTAGATGATAGCGATGCTATAAATAAAGGCTACTTAAGGTTTTATATACAAATCGTTAAAGCATCTTTAGACGGTCTTCGCAATTTTGTGGAACATTTAGAGAAAGATTTGAACGCTGTCAAAGAAAGCTTGAGTAGATTAATAGAGAATGCAGCAAGTGGTAAATGAGTTACACAAAGCGGCACGTAAGAATTTCACACGTAGACGTACTGTTATTAAGGGTTTCGATGATCTTTGGCAGGCAGATTTAGCTGAATTTATACCTTACGCTAAAAATAATAAAGGCTACAAATACATATTGGTAGTTATTGACTGTTTTTCTAAATATCTGTGGACGAGAGTATTGAAGAATAAAACAGGCGAAGAGGTGACAAAAGCCATGCAAAGTATATTAAGAACTGCCGGACGCAGACCGAAAAATTTACAAACCGATGCAGGAAAGGAATTCTATAACAAATCATTTGATAAGTTGATGACACAGCAACATATTAATCACTACTCTACGCACAGTATTAAAAAGGCTGCAATGGCCGAAAGAGTTATTAGAACTATCAAGGGTCAACTTTACAAAAATTTTAGCCTACGTGGAAAGTATGTATGGATCGATGTAATTGAATCAATCACAAGCGACTATAATAAGCGTAAACATCGAACGACTGGGATGAAACCGGTTGAAGTGAAGGCCAACACACATTTAACTGCCTATAACCACATAAAGCTGTTCAATAGGAAATGTCGGTTTAATGTTGGCGATGTAGTTCGAATCAGCAAATTCAAGAGTCATTTTTCTAAGGGCTACACACCTAATTGGTCTAGTGAACTTTTTAAAATAGTGAAAATACGAATAACAAACCCAGTAACATATCTGTTAGAAGACATGAAAGGAAAACCGATCCTAGGTGGATTTTATGAACAAGAATTGCAGAAAGCCAAGCATTCAGATGTATATTTGATAGAAAAGGTATTGCGGCGTAAGAAAAACAAAGTATACGTCAAATGGTGGGGAATGGATGAAAAATCGTGGATTAATCAAGAAGACATAATTTTATAAGCTTTAGTTTTTTTAATTTGTAATATATATATATATATTGTGAATAAAACTCAGTAAATCCATACATGTTTTTATTTTATTTTTTTGTCTACCATACAAAGGTTTTGATTGGATTCGGTTTTGAATTTTTACTCCACATTCTGTTAAGTACCAATAAACTCTTTTTATAGTCACTTAGTTGCGTCGAGGGCCAAAATGCGTTGTCCGGTCCACAAGTCCACCCTAGGGACGCATTTGGATCTGCGTCTCCTTTACGGATATTTTCCAGCACCCAGTCGTACACTGCTTTATGTCGAGTGCATGCGAGCGGCCTGAATGAGTATTGTATGTTTCGCTCGGTACATATTTCCCACAAAATTTCTAGGGCCTTACAATTAGCATATTCTATACTAATACATATTGCATCATCCATTATATACAAAAGATCCTTATAGTTATTTAAAATACTATCTACATTGAATTGAGAAAGTCTAGCTAAATCATAAATATACATTTTAAGTCCTAAAGGTAATTCAGAAGTCAGTCTATCGATCTGATCACTAGTAACACAGCCACTTATATTTAGGATTCGACATTTATTTACAAAATGTTTAATGGTATAGTCAATTTCTTCCTTCTTATCAACTAGTAGTTTAATTTTATTCGAGCACACATTTGGTGATTTTGCGCACCAGTTGAAGCACTCGTCCGGTATCACAATTTTTTGCAGAGTCTGATTAATCACCTCATAATTTTCAGTGGACCAGACGTCCATAAGGGCTCTTTTTAAATGTTTTTTGTAAATGTGATGAGAAGCAAGAAATACTTCTTGCTCCAATTGGATTGTTTTATCCGAACGAATGCTGCAACTGATGCTCATAATCTGCAAAAAGAAATTAAATGAAAAGATGTTTCGATGCTGTGGAATATGAAAATTAAGTTGAATGGTATCCCCAAGGGCGAGTGTTGATGCAGTCTAAACTTATGACACGTTTGTCATCATAAGGGCTCAAAACTACCTTATCCTGCTTGATCGTAAATACGCAATGCTTTTGTGATTTAATAAGATGCTGATTCCTTTTTACAATCGATTCATTAAACAAGCAATCTTTATAATCTTCTAACGTTACTTCCCTAATGCTAGCCGCTGTGGAACCCTTAGACTTTTTAACTATTTGATCATCTACTTGGTATACATACATTTTTGCTCGGAGTCCTACAAACTCTAGCATTATTCGTCCATTGTTTTCGTCCTTCATCAGGCCTGGAATTTTTTTATTAACGGGTGGTATTGCAAATATGTTATTCGGATTATAGGCGGAGGTGTCAAATCTATCAAGATTCTCCTTTATCGAATGATAGATGTCGGGAACCGCAAACGAGTAAATGAGGCTATCGGTATCAGTATATAACAGCTTCGCACAATTTTTGAATTTCGGTAAAACAAAATCATAATGGAACTCGTAAAGGAAAGTCTTAGAGACATCCAAAACCGAAAATCCTACGTATATTGGTTTGTTTAGGAATACCTCTAAGCGGTTCATTTCAATGATGACCATATCGTCATCGAATATAGTACAGCTATGGAAATTTGGTTTTGCAATACACGCTCTTGCTCCATACCGTCCTTCCCATTTAGTTACTAAGCGAACATCTTTATACTTTCTTACGTTTTCCATTAATTTTCCGAATACACTGTTCACCATTAGTTTAAAAAAATGTACCTCGAATTCGTTTTTAGCTTGTTTACGCATAGACGTGTTCAAATCGATATACTTTCTCAACCACGGTGATTGTTTAAAGCGTAGGACGCGATGAATCTTAATAAGTTCTAAACCGTGCTTAATGTACAGTTTTAAATTTCTATAGTGCACGACATAATTCCGTTTGGGGTACAATGTGAGCAATAATTTCTTAATTTTAGATCCTGCCGGAATCATGTGCTCAGGAGCGAGGGGAAGATCACTATGCGTCTCATGCAATTCTCTTGGATAGTCTAAATCACATTCTAAAATGTAACCAATGTCTGAATCGTCCGAATGATTTAATATATCTAACGACTCAAAGTTGTCCACAAAGGAAAAATCTCCATACGGTAGAGATTCACACATTGTTCTTCCATAAAGTGAATTTACATCGAAATACATTAGATAGTTTGTGGGAAGGTTAGGATCGTATCCTTCAGACATATACTTATTGTTGGCTTTGGCATAACGAGTCGTGCACTGGGTGACGCCTCCCCTAATTCCCTTCTCGATAAACAAAACTTGATCAATATCAGTTAAAAGTTCTAATCTAATTCCCGTAATCTTTAACATTGCATCAAATGCCAAGCCCGGAGCGGTGTAGTAGTGCAAAGGATCAAGTTGATAAGTCTGCAAACAGGTTTTACGAAAATTTTCAAAAATGTCAGCCAAAAGAAGAACATCCGTTTTTAAATAAAGATCTGAGTACTGACCTAAATTTTGAACTGAAAACGAGGTCCACACGTTTAAAGCATGCGCATACTCATTTTCGGTAATATCCTCATTGTGTAAATGGCTATAGAATGCGTTTCTTGGTGGTAGCTCAGTTTCATTTAACTTTTCCCAAGAATCTATGTACTCATAGGGAAAAACGCCTTTCCGAGTTAACAAATTAAACTGAACTTCGTTGAGACTGAATGACCGAGTTATTGTTTTTTTATCGTTTGACAAGTATGAAGATAATTTTTCCAAACTGCTACTCATGAATCTAAACGAATCGATAAATCGAAAGGCAATGTTTGTATTCTCAACGTGTTTGGTAAAAGAAATATACCTCTCTTTATTTATAGGTAATAATTTAATTTGACCAGGTATACCGGTTGCTAGTTCTCGTATAATAAAATGGGCATCATATCCGCTAAGATTGTGAAAGACTACTGGGATTATGCGACTATCTTGATAGTTCAAGTTGCAGGAAACGTGGGCACTTTTTCTCATTTTTCCTGTCAAATGGTTGTGATCTTTAGCACGAATTTCACCTTCTGCAAATGGTTTTTCACATATGTGGCAATGAGTGGCATTCTGGAAATCTGCCAGTTGAGTAGCACTCAACGTTTCCATGGGTATAGGGTTATCAAAGATTGAATTCGCCCATATGGAAATGCTATGTAATTGTTTAATAAACCAAGAAATACAATCCACCCCTCTATACTGTGAAAATTGCGAAAGCGAATCATCATACGTACACTTGAGATAAAACGCCACACTAAAGGGTATATGTTTTTGGTACAATCGTGTGTTTTCACCACCACCACCGTTGTTTTCGCATTTAACCAAAATGCTTTCCATGTCGGCGTAGATAGCAAATGGCACACTTTCTTTGTATGAGTAATGGGTAAACTCTAAATACTTTTCGTTTTCGCGCGGTACTCTTGCAGAACATCTATTTATCTTGTGACAGTTGACGGAGTGTTTTTGTAATAGGTTATCAGAAGAAAAATGGTTTAAGCAGATATTACAAAAGAATTTTTTGTGGCCTCTTTTTGACAATTGTGAAGACAACAACGCGGACATATTCTTAATCCACGTAAAATGATAATTGGGATTGCGCTTAGAGGACTGCGAAATACCGTTTATATTGCTATTGTTAGAGGATAACACTAATAAATTAATTGTGGGTCCATTGACATCGTGGTTAGTGCTCAACATGAAGGGAACGACACGTTTTTTTGTCACACAATACAGATTGATAGCCAAATTATTTAACTTTTCAAACTTTTTTATATCACTAAGTTTAATAGGGAATTGAATATTTCCTCGATTTAAAACCGTATCAAAGTGGGGATAGCTCGATATTCTATCGCCATCTTTATGAACAGGATATAATGCCGCCGTTACTGACCAAAGAAAGCAAAATGGATCGTTATTTTTAACATTAATAACGGCCCTCTTTAGCGCAATAAAATGAGGTACTTTTATGTAAGTGGAAGCACCACCCCTTATCGGAACATAACTGCTTATGTTTACCTTTAAATGCAAGATTTCACTAAGGGCGAAACCAGATCCTTCCTCCTGAAATGCTTCTAACTTTGTTCTCAATTTATCAAACACATTGGTCTGATACCACCCCTGCAAGTTGCTACCAGAGTCAATAACGTTGTTTCTAGTAGCAAACGTCTTTAAATCTATATTTAGGTTTTTAGGATTTACAAAATTGCAAACGAGGATCACATTTACTTTCAACATGGACCGTTTCAACATGATATTAATTTTTCGTGCAAAGCTATCATACGCGCGTTGCAAAAAAATTATAGGGTCCTTATATCCTAAATTGACTATGATCCCAGTTAAAAGCCTCGAGTTAAAACAGGATTTGAGAGAATACCAAACTAAATTACGCGTATTGTTTTCACCTATTCCACAGCCTCGTTTCGAAACATCTCTTAACTGTTGCCTCAGTTTAGCCAGGTAAGATTTCAAGATTGCCAAATTGCTTTCAAGCTTAATGGGATTTTCGTTATTGTTCTTTAAAGAAACGTTATCACCGATAACCTTTTCAATCAAAAAAATGTTAGTTTTAATAATGGAAATGTGTCTCAATATTTCAGGTTTGTATTTTAACAAAATAACGAGATCTCTTGTGAGCCGTACTATGTCGCTACTAATACTTGACACTGACAAAGAAGACATAGTTACTGTAGTAACTTAATTACTTACTTACTGTAATTAACAACTTAACAAATATATCCAATGTAATGCTAAGTTTAGCGAACGAATCCACACACGGATATAGGTACTTGCAAATTGATTCACAGACAAGCGAGATGTACCATCGAAATTTGTGGACTCAATTAATCATTTGTAGAACTACCACCTTATATAGTGGCATAAGTAAGAGCAATCAACTCGTCTATAGAACCGGAAACGACACACTCGCAGATGCTGATTCAGCTTTTCGGAAATATAATATGCGCTATATTTCTTTTCCTTCAAAGTTTTATGCAAACACAGGCATTAGATACCTCCGTAGATGCTGATTCAGCTTTTCGGAAATATATGCGCTATCTCTTTTCCTTCCGAGTTTTATGCAAACATCGGCACAAGTTCTATAATAAATAATTAAAATTTCTACCTATTGATCAGTTATTGTTCTTCTATGCAACATGACCAAAGAAACTAAGAAACCCAGTAAACTGTCTTTAAAAAAATCGGCACCGGTGCCTAGTGTGGTGCAACATGTAGTTGTAAGTGCATCATCACAAAACATATTGTTACCAAAGCGAGGTCCTTTTATCAAACGAGGCCCCATTAGTGGTGATAAAAGGAAGGCGAGCGACCCTACAACTGCAGGACCATCTAAATTACGAGCTCCTGATGCAAATAAAACGGTGCTACACCCAGTGGATGAATTGGGCAACAAACCCCTACTGGATGATCAATATAGCATCATTACTATAACATCAGACGATGAATCAAGGTCTGATAATCTCAGGTACTTAAACATTTTTATCATAAAAGTTATGTTTCCTACATACTGAGCGATTTCTTACAGATCAACCGTAACGACTCATTTAGGCCGAACATTAGAAATTGACGATCTCCTCAAAGAACTTGAAGGTGGACATGGTTCTAACGGATACGATTCGAATCGGTAAATATTATCGCAAAAAAAAGCTATGTACATTGTGAACGTTGATTCTCTTTACAGAATTATTCCAACGCCGCACCTGTCGGAGGAAATAAGATCCCCACCACCACCATCTCTGGTAATGCCACCGCCGGAAACACCAACGGAGCAAAACAAGTAAGTGGCTAACATTTTACATAGCTGTTGTGTGTGAGGATGTGGCAGAGGGTGTGAGGGTATGTGTGTAATGAATGTAATGTTTGTTACAGCTCAAAGGGCAAAGATATAAATGCTATGATACAAATGTATCAGGCCGAGTTCCAGCAGCCATTTTCTCCGGAACTTCCTACTCCAATTCATGCCTCATCGATTACCATTACCCCCAAAGCGTTGGTGGAGGAAACTATCGCGCGGCTACAAAACATGCAACCGATCTACCATGACAGATTAATGGTAGCTCGGAACCGTACGGTACGACTTGTTGCCGAGTTGGACGCCTCGCGCGACGAAGAGAAGTGCCTTGAAAATGAATTGAAGTGCATAGCGGAATAAAAAAGTAATGTGTAAAAATTCATATTGTATGTAAAATTGTCTACATTTTACTAAATAAAAGCCTATTATGTTCATATGTTGTCTAATTTTTGTAATAAAAAAAAATGACCATCTCAAATGCGCATAAGCATCGTAATTTATGTGACCCAAGTATGTACTTCAAAAAAAAATTTTTTTTACGGGTATAGATATTGAATAATTATTCCAAAATGGTATCAAGTATGTACATTAGGCCATTGAATGAGTATACAAAAAAAAAATTTAAAATGCCATGACGGCTAACCCGAAAATTGAACTTTTAAGTATTACAATGCAACGTGTCACTCAAAGTACGTACCCAATGGCTTTATGTAATTACCATAATATTAATACTCAATTTCCAACTCGTTTTGATTAACACTGGTGTAGAAAAATACCTACTAAACCCTCAAAAATTTCAAACCAAATTTTTAATTTATTATCACGACATTTCCTTATACAAATGCACAGCATTGATATCGACATTGAAATGCAGTCCATACGCGCTCTATGCTTACACGGCGATATAATTATAGAACAAGCGGCAATTTTTTTATATTCATATACGTACATACTAAATAATATGGTAAGAATCCAATCTTTTCTAGTTCATTGCATTCTACCTTCTTACCAATTCACAAACAAAATACTGACCGGTCATTTCTAATAATTGACGAACTCTCCATTTCGTAACATACCTACTATAGATATTTATCATTTACGAATAAAGTTGACTGTTTTGATTTATGAAATATTCTTATCAAAATCAACTTTCTATTGCAGTTTTTAATTCCAATTCTATTGAAACGGTTAGTATCGCATTCATGGTTGATATGAGCATCGTCATATGTAGGTAGTTATTATAATGTAAAATTGTTTTACACGAAATCAATATTCTCGACGCAGTAGAAGGTACAGCAGGAACATTAGGTTTGCTGCAAAAGATTGTATTTGTTTAAATACTTTAATGAAATAAAAAAATTACATGTTAGCAATAAAATCAGCCGCTTCGGTTCTTGGACTTTGCATTCACAAATCCTATCCAACATTTAACTTCTTCACCCTTCGCTCGCAGTCGATCATTTCTACGTCCCACTTTAATCTTCTGATGTTCGTTAATAACTTATCGATTCTACTTTGTAGATCCACATGCTTCTTCTTTCTGCTCTCAACCGATTGACTGATTTTGCTCATGTTGTTTGACTTAATTCCGATTTTTAATTAAGTACCACACAGTGCATCTCATAAATTTATACCTTTCCACATCAAAGATAAGAACAACCAGAAACCAGAAAAGTTACTTACAAAGTAGTGGGGGTGGCACTAGGATTGGAATTACTAACGTTTTAGTAACTGTTCTGGTGCCTTTTTGCATTAAGATCAGCATTACTACTTTTTTAGTAACGTTTCTGGTGATTTTTTGCATTAGGATCGGCATTACTACTTTTTTAGTAACTTTTGTGGTAACTGTTTGCATTAGGATCGGCTTTCTAGGAACTTTTTTTGCGTTAAGATCGAGCCTAGTAACTTTTCTGGTGACTTTTTGCGTTAGAATTGATCCTAGTAACTTTTCTGGCGACTTTTTACATTACTACCTTTTTAGTAACTTTTCTGGTGACTTTTTGCGTTAGAATTGACCCTAGTAACTTTTCTGGTGACTTTTTGCATTACTACCTTTTTAGTAACTTTTCTGGTGACTTTTTGCGTTAGAATTGACCCTAGTAACTTTTCTGGTGACTTTTTGCATTACTACCTTTTTAGTAACTTTTCTGGTGACTTTTTGCGTTAGGATCGGCCCTATATAACTACTTATGGAGATCCAGCCTATTCTACAGGGTGTCCCTAAAAGGTCTGTACAACGCGCTACCAGGGGTTCTTGGTATCAAAATAGGACGATTTAACCCTACTTACCTCTATCCAAAAGTGCTTCGGTAAGGCGCTATCTACCGCCAAAGATTCAAAAAACAAATCGTTATTTTTATTTTATCGGAAAATGGTTTTGCCGATTAAAATGAAATTCGGGATGTGAATGTCTAATGTAAAAAGGGTCTTTGTGATATCATCGTTTTGATTGTAGTTGCTATCTAGGTGGTAAAATACTGACCATCCACATCTGAAGAGGTCTAAAACTTTTTAACTACTATTTTGACGGTTCTGAATTTTTAGACACTGATAGACAGTTTACTTGCAAACATTTTTTGTCTCTTGATGAATATCGCTATCGGTGATGGTTTACGAAAAAAAAATAAATTTAGGCATGATGAATGGCATGCACCATACATGCGATTGTTCCTCAAAAACCATAAGTGCAAGCAAGAAGTAGGCTATGAAACCGTAGTGCAAGCAAGTAATGTAGAATAAACGAACACAACAGAGTAAGTCAATGTAAATTTTCACGCATACATGATACAAAGCATTATACGGCGTAATAAATTAAACTGTGCCCTTTGCAACATTGGTACGTTATTTTTTAAAGTTTTAAGTCTTCAAGCAAAACGTAAATTGTTACAGTTTAAGAAACAACAAACAAACGTTACGCCACTCTAAGGTTTAACAGCCATCTTCTGATTTTTTGAGGAACAATCGCATGTATGGTGCATGCCATTCATCATGCCTAATTTATTTTTTTTTCGTAAACCATCACAGATAGCGATATTCATCAAGAGAAAAAAAATGCTTGCAAGTAAACTGTCTATCAGTGTCTAAAAATTCAGAACCGTCAAAATAGTAGTTAAAAAGTTTTAGACCTCTTCAGATGTGGATGGTCAGTATTTTACCACCTACATAGCAACTACAATCAAAACGGTGATATCACAAAGACCCTTTTTACATTATACATTCACATCCCGAATTTCATTTTAATCGGCAAAACCATTTTCCGATAAAATAAAAATAACGATTTTTTTTTTAATCTTTGGCGGTAGATAGCGCCTTACCGAAGCACTTTTGGATAGAGGTAAGTTGGGTTAAATCGTCCTATTTTGATACCAAGAACACCTGGTAGCGCGTTGTACAGACCTTTTAGGGACACCCTGTATAAGAGAATTATTAATTGCACCCTACCGTAATCGGAATTTGAATGAAGAGCAGCAAAATTTTAATAGACGCATGAATGCAGTATGACAAGCTGTAGAATGGTCATTTGGCAAGGTAGCCAGAGAGTTTGCTTTTCTTGATTTTAAAAAGAATCAAAAACTGTTACTGCAGGATTTGCAAAAAATGTATGCAGTAGGAACAATTTTAAGTAACTGCCAAACATGTACATATGGCAATCAAATTTCTGAATATTTTGGAATGGTTCCCCCTACATTACAACAATACCTAAATAATTATTAATCGAGTTATTAATTATGTTTAAGTATGACCTGTTTCATATTTTCATGTATATTAAAATGGTAATACATTGATGTAGTTTATAATTATGATTTTTTAGATAAAAGGTTTCAAATAGTATATATACACTCTTGTTGTTTGTTAAATAATTCAGATGTTTGATTTTGCTGCTCCTTTTCAACCTGTAGTCGCTGTAGACGTTCTTCTCTTTGCAAAGCAAACTTATTCTCTTCTAGTGCTAATTTTCTTTCTTCCAAATTCATCTTTCTTTCGTCTAATTGTAGCTGTTTTTCTTTCAACTCCCTTTCCTTATCCCATTTCTGTTGTAGAATAAGTAGACTATCCGAAATTTTACGAGATTTTCGTTTATGTGATGGCTCTAGAAGTAGTTGTTTAATACAATTAACAAGTGTTACCAAATCCAAGTACCAAGTATATTTGATGTTGGAGTTGATGTTCCGCTGATTTGTTCGTCATATGGATTTCTCTGTACGCTATTTGTTTCATTTTCCATTACTTCATCTTCAACAATAGTATATGTAACTACAATTACAAGTGTAAGGCAATGTACATTTTTGTGTTCTACATTCCACCTTCTGCATTACATGCCGCAATTGTTGCTGGCGCATCACGCACAAGTGACCCTTGCCGTTTGGACGAGCTGGAGCTGGGATTAAGAGTCTTTGTATTTGTTTTGCACTGGAATTCTCGCCTCAACTCCGTAATTTCTGTCAACAATCTGACCTTTTCATCGTACTCCTCCTCCGTGCCTGATCTATAACACTTAGGTACAGAGACCACATTTTTTGTACACGTTTGGCATACCTACTTTTTTAAATTAGCAGCATCTTCTTTCATAAAAAGTTTCAATAAATATTCCAGATGATCCTTTACACCATGTAATGTAAAGGATTTTCCAGAGACTTCTATTAAAGTTTGATGCACCCTATCCCAACCTGAAGAATCTTCGTATGGATTTTCTACCAAAACACTCTGTAAGGGCCAGTTGTACAATGCATTGAACTATAACCATAATGGAATGCGTACGCAAGTGTAATTCTTAACTAAAATTTGGTCGACTGGGTTAGAAAAGGCACGCTGTTGAGAAGTGGGATGCTATCTTTGTCACTTGCTGTTGTTTACGTTATGCATGCAAGTACGTCTTTATAATTTGCCTGTTTTCTGGTGTTTTCTCTTCATTGGAATTTAAAATGGTTAAACATTGCTGTGCCTATGGTTGCAGCAATGAATGGAATCCAAATTTGAATATTCCATTCCATACGTAAGTACATTTACTATTTTAGGTTATGTTAAGCGAATCTTTTATACGAAAAGGTGAAGTTTCTAAAAGAGGATCCTAGTTGTATCTTAAATAATTTACTTACAATTAACCCTTGGCATGCCGCTTTAACCAAATCAATTTTTAATTTACAGATTTCCTCTAAAACGGCCTGAGATATTACGATTATGGGTTCAAGCAGTTCGGTTAGTAGGGTTTAAACCAACTGCAACAACTGTAATTTGTGGAAAACATTTTACCCCAGATTCATACCTGGAATCCGCATTAAATAAAAATTTGTTAAAAAAAGATGCAGTCCCTTCGATTTTTAACTTCCCAAGACATTTGATGAAAACCATGACAGCGAGAA